AATGCCCATGTTTCCTCAAATACATCAGACACTACTTACTTTCTTGTTGCTATATATGGAGGTACTGGGAATTACATACTACTTCTGGCCTGGTGGTATCCCATGCCAGGTGCTCCTGTATCATTGTGCTTGTTTTTGACCACGTTGCCCTCAGTCTCTGATAAATCCTTCCTGCCACACCACCTTCTCTTATTCCCGTAAACGTATTTGCATTCCATCCAAGTACTGCCCCACCTATGTCTTCTACATGGCAAGTGTGCTTCCTACAATGAGAGCTGAATCACCTGATGGCTTTATTCCTCACTTGTGAATTTAACACATGACTTTTATAACTGGTACGTCAGCAGACCCCACATTGCATGTCGCCCCAGAACCTCCGCCATTTTGATTGATGAGCGAGTTCTACAGGGAGAAAGGAAGGCAATAGAGGGTGGGCTTTCAGAGATACCTGACTCCTCATCACCTTCATCAATATCACATACTTCATCAGGGCAGCCCATCATCAAGGACTTCTTGGCTGACTACAGCAGCGCCTCCCCTGCCAAATGGCTCACCAACAACGCCGTTGGAGTTTCTATCCCTTTGGTCGAAATCATCTATGTGATGTTCATTAGTTCTACCATCGACTACCTTTCAACTCGAAGTAAACCCTGGAGCAACTGAAAAAAATGAGGTTTATCCTGGGCTGCTCTGCTTCCATCAGGGTAGTTAATATGCAGTCTGAGCTAATTTGAGCAAATGTGTTTGCTGTATCAAGTGTTTCGCGCTTGAAGGACTCCCACAGAGCTACAGGGTCCATTAGGTTTTTGAGTTCTGTGAACCGATCAGAGACTGCTGTGGCGAACCTCTGGGCACACTCCTCCTCCTTCAATCTGTTCAAGTGAAATACCCTAGAGCGGTCAGTGGAGGGCCAAGTAGTTTTGGACCTGTTGAGTAGCCATAACCGGCCTATGGTCATTGCCACAGAACTCAGCACTCCTGTAAACCCCACATTTTTGGAGGATCCTTCAGTGAGTGCTGACAAGAATTGGTTGATCTCCTTGCCCACAGTACATGTATTTCTATACCATGCTCTGATACCAGGTGCTAGAAATCCTCAATCTCTGAGACCTTGCAAAGTCACGGAGAAGGAGACTGTTCTCACTGCTAAGATCAGTTCCCAAGCCATGGGGACTAACAAACATCTCGTATCCAGCTCGGTCACAACCGGATACTGCATTGAAGTCACCCACCCAGAATAATGCAAATGTTTTGCCGGGAACATTTGTCAGCCACAAACGTGAGTTTGGCATAGTTTACACACATTGTCACTTTATTACTGTATATTCTCCTATCAAAGTCAAAAGCATGCTTCAGTCTCAATGACATCATACACTCTTTAGCCGGTGGTACCTCT